TTCGGCTTGAAATGCGATGATGTTTGGGTTCCTAGAGCGCAGTTTAGAACTGCTAGAGTATAGTTCAAATTAAAAACATGGCCAATAAACGTGATATGAAAAGTTTGAACTTTTTAGCTTGACTATGTTTTGATCTAGAGATATTGCCATGGATCATAATACAAAAAGTTAGAACTTTTCATAATACAAAAAGTTAAAATTATAATACAAAAAGTTAAAATTTTTTGTTTCCAGAATTAAGAAGTCCTGCAATTTAGGCTTTCACATAACCCCGCGTACATGTGACTTAAGTAATTAAGAAAGCTAGCTTGTATGTTTTGGTCTAGAGATATTGCCATGGATCATAATATAAAAAGTTAGAACTTTTCGGTTTTTCTGATTGCAAAGTTAGGAAACTGCGCAAATTCAAATTTTTTGTGTCCTTACGCGCGAGGCAGGCATTAAAGCTCATTTCAAAATTTCTAGATAGTAAAAGGGCAAGAAACAAGTTTCCGAATTTTCAGCCATCTAACTTTTCTGGTTCCCAAGCTTGTAGATTTTGCCTCTAAAACTTTTACATCTTCGTATGTGACAGCCAGGCTTATTCAGGAACCGCATTTATCTTTGAACTGCGCATGAACAGAAAACAATCTCCTCAAATTTCTGTTTCCTAACTTTTTATTTCTTGAATTAATACTTCTTGCAAAAATTTTTGCGTCCGTGTGCGAGACGCAGACGCGCGTGAAAGCTAATATCGCATTTCCCGGATAGCGCTCGGCCAAGGAATAGAATGGCAAAACTTCTGCACCTGAGTTCACTTAAACGCCCAGTTACCCAGACAGATATATACATGTTACAGGTCATCACAATATGCGTTTTTGCTAACAGTTGCAGTGCAGCAACGCTGCATCGCAAAAATGCATAACCCAGGCTAGAACGCACCAGGCGAGCCGGTGCGATCATGCGTTCTCGCATCAAACTCTGAAGTACCACCACTCATAGAGGCGGAATGGGGAAGGAAGGGACTTCACATTATGCCATCATTCAACAGAGGACGGGATTTGATCATTTGTGCGAATCGGCGAATTAACGGCACACCGCTCTCCCTCACATTGACCAAAACAACTTCAACTTCTAAGCTTTCACAGTTCTTGAGATGAAGTGAATAAATGCATCCCTCACTTCCAACAACCACTGCATTTCGCTGTTCCTCACCCCTCTTCTCCCACCTTCTCCTGCCCAGGCCAGAAAACCAATGATGTGGGCGGGACCACCTCCTTT